TGAGAAAAGATGTCCCTGAGCAGTTTCTCATCTATTTTTGCCTTGAGGTCTAACACTAAAGCTTTAGCAAGTGAAAAATTATAGAGGTGGGAGTTTGGCATCACAGTTATGATACTGCTTATGACACATACACCTCTCATATCAGAGTGCCTATGCTGGAGCCCCATTTCCACTCCCCATTCTAGCTTCCTGCTAATGTGTACCCTGGAAGGCATCAGATGATGACTCAAGTATTAGGGTCCTTACCACTCACATGGGGACCTAGATTGAGTTCTTTGGCTTTGGCCCAGACAAGCCCTGGCTGTGGTAGGCACTTGGGGAGTGAATCAGTAGGTGGAAGATTTTTGTCATCTCTGTCTCTCTGCCTTTCAAACACATAAAATAAATAAAAATTTAAAAACAAAAAGTTTTCAATTTTTTTCTTTCCAAAACAATCATTAAGCAATACTATGTAGTGGATATTTACTCATTTTTATTAAGTTGAGATAATAACACAAGTATTTCGAGAGCTGTTCTAAAACAGAGGCTCACAAGCTAAGTTTATCAAACAGTCCTAATGCATCAGATGACAGGTACCACCAGCTCTGTCTATAAGTCAAATTATTCTTAGGTTTAAGGTTGCTGTTCTTCTAGGCGCCTGGTTCCCAAATGAAGAAATTTAACACCAACAGCCTGTCTTTTGTCCGAAGCTTTGCAAACTAAAATATACTGTACTGACTGAAATATGTATTTTCTGCAACAGTCAACAGTATGACAATGGGTGTCAATGCATACTGAGAGCACAGACTGATGAACATCAGACACAGAGAGTTTCAGGTGATTGGCATTTTATTAGGTTGCCAAGCATGCCTCACAAAATACCATGAAACTCTATGATACCTTATTCAGACACCCAGACATTTATTATGTACTTATTTTCTGAATACATCATGTGTATGGATAGTGAAAATAATACATGTAAAACAATATAAAATGGTCAAATATTCTAGTGGCTCAAGTTCATAACTCAACTATCCTGATACTCCATGTGGGTACAGAGACCCCCTACATGAAGATTTTGTTGAATGCACCTTATCATCCGGCTCAGTATAATTTTAGCCACCAAATGATAAGATTTAAATTTTTGACAACTTAATATCCAAGACTCTTTTTCCCAGTTGTGAAATGGGCAAGGGAAACTGCTGCTCAAATGAGATTACTATTCTTGTCATTTAAGTTATGTAGCTGATAGTAAGGCATTCTTTTTCATCATGCATTTCTAAGGATATAACTAATCTTATTTTCTCAAACACAGCACTCACTCATGAACAAATTTAACATTTGTACTCTAAGACTAAACCCAAGTCTTGAAAAGCATTAAGCAAACTGTATTTTATTAGTCTGATGGAACTGTGCTAAGCTGAAAAATCCACAATACTTTCAAAATAACAACCAAAACAATGTGTAATGATATAAGAGGAGAAGTCTAGAATATTCACAATATCCAGTCAGCCAAATACAGCCAAATGATAGCAGGTGCTGAATTTCCCAAACAATAGACATTTCAAAAGCCCTATTCCACTTGGGCACATTCTCAGCAAAATGAAACAGGCAAGCTGAGCCCCTAGCCCTCAGAGTTCGAGATTTTAGACAATTACCTTGTGACAAACACAAAGAAATGTGAAATTGTGGCTCAAGGTTTTTAAAGAACAGCCTATGCACAGTATCTATCAGAACAATGGCTGTGAAGGATGTGGTCCATCCCCAAGACCACACTCTTCACTTTGGTCCAGAATATTCAGCAAGGAATTTAGGTAACCCAAGATAGCATAAAGCTTCATTCCTATTCAGAGGCCACAGCTCCTCTGTAGGGTCTTTTTTAAAATTAAAAAATGAGGAGCCAGTGCTGTGGTGTAGTGGGTAAAGCTGCCACCTGCAGCGCAGACATCCCATATGAGTGCCGGTGTGAGTCCTGGCTGCTCCATTTCCAATCCAGCTCTCTGCTAAGGCACCTGGATAAGCAGCAGAAGATGGTCCAGGTACTTAGGCCCCTGCACCTACATGGGAGACCGGGACGAAGCTCCTGGCTCCTGGTTTTGCCCTGGCCCAGCCCTGACCATTGCAAGCATCTGGAAATAAACCAGCAGACAGAACAGTGCTCTCTCTCTCTCTCTCCTTCTCTCTCATGCTACCTTTCAAATAAATACATAATATTGAAAAAGAACAATTATTAATAAGAGGGTATCCTGGAAAGAACAGAAGAGAAACACAGGAAGCTGGAAAAGGTGGCTTCAATCCCAGCCCTGGTAACAATGCTTCTGGGCCCCACCTAAATCATTCAGTATTAGGGTCCCCATACTACCCCAGGGACCATCTCCCAGCTGTCTTGGACTCACTGGATTCAGCACAGTCACATTCACAGCTGTAATTTGTTACAGTAAAGGGATGCCCAGGACAAGCAGTAGAAAATGCCTGGAGTGAAGTCTAGAGGAGCAGGCAGAAATTCCAGAGTCTCTCAGGTGGAGTCACACAGGACAAGCTTGGTTCACCTAGCAACATGAGTGGGCATGTTGTCATCTACCAGGAAAGCTCCTCAGAAACTTGGTGACAAGTTTCTTACTAGGACTGGTCACACAGACACCTTCCTCCTTCCCCAAGTTCCAGGTGTGTGGCATATACCACATTGTTTGCAGAGTTTGGGCACAAAGATCCACTCTCTTACCCTATTCTTCAGGAATGGGACTGTCCGTTGTTCCTACATGCCAGGAGCCAGGCTTGTAAGCAGCCCTTCCAAAGACAGCAACCTCAGGCCTGCCACATAAGCTCTTTCCCGCACTCACCTCTCTAGAACTGTTTGACTTTGTCATTTCCTTCTGATCTGCTAGTTCTAGAGGTTCATAGGAAAACTACTGTGGAATATGGGTACTCTGCAAGGTGGTGGGTCCACAGTGTGGAGCTACCACGAGCTACATGGCATGGGGTGAGTCCAGCCCTGGAATAGCTAAGTCACTGTTCCAGGTCTGTTTCCCAGAAACGATGCTGACTCCACCACCTAGCAGCCCTCTCCCTCCAGCTCCTGCCCACTCTACTCATCTGTGCCCTCTAATTTTCTTAATGAGATTGCTGAGTATTGTCTTTAAGCTCTTTTCTCCTAAGTGTTCTCACCATTATATTCAAAGAGCAGAGGCTGAGGTTCATAAAACACAAGAATAAGATAATGACTCTCACAGATTATCTTTTGTAATAAATAAAATAAGTTGTTTTATTCCGATTTGATCATCTCGTACACAGCCAGGGGCTGTGATGAGTGCAACACTGAGGTCAGATACGACTCTCGACAACAAAGAGGCACAAGGCCCCTTCATTAGTTCATCAGGAACCTGACTTTAGGGTCTGGGGCCCAGTCCATCATACCCACCTGATGGATGTCAAGACAAACTACTTCTGCATATTTCAGTCTTCTATCCTATTCCCAGATGCCTACTATTCTACAAAGTCTTCTCTGTGAAACAAGGTGGAGAAAAATTAAAAGCTGAGTCAGCAGAACAAGGCTTTAATCTTGGCTCTGCCTCCCACTAGCTGTGTTGATCTCTCCACAGTCACCTCACATCTCTGGACCTCACTAACAAGCTCAGACAAGCTTCTCTCAGAGTGTACCACACTTCTAAATGGCCAGGATCTTCACATTCTTTGCTCTCTTAAATGAATGGGGCAGAGAAAAGGTTTAGAATTCGTGTGATGTTAAGCTTCGCCACCACAAGTGATTATAGATATCCACCATTGGGGCTGGCGTTGTAGCACGGCAGGTTAAGCCACCACCGACATGCTGGTATTCCATATGAGCACTGTTCAAGATATGGCTGCTCCAGTTTCGATTTAGCTCCCTGCAAATATCCCTGGGAAAGCAGCAGAATATGGCCCAAGTCCACGTGGCCAGGATGGAATTTTTGGCTCCTGGCTTCAGCCTCACCCAGACTTGGCTGTTGCTATTTGGGGAGTGAACTGGTGGATGGAAAATACCTGTTTCTCTCTCTTTCTCTATCTCTCCCTCTCTATATATAACATTGCCTTTGAAATGAATAAATCTTTTTTTAAAGATTTATTTTTATTTATTTGAGTTAGAGAGCGAGGTAGAGACAGAGAGAGGGAGAGGTCTTCCATCCGCTGGTTCACTCCCCAAATGGCCACAATGCTGATATGAAGTCAGCCACTGAGCTGATATGAAGTCAGGAGCCAGGAGCTTCTTCTGGGCCTCCCACATGAGTGCAGGGGCCCAAAGACTTGGGCCATCTTCTACTGCTTTCCCAGGCAGACAGCTGGAATGGAAGAGCAGCCGGGACTAGAACTGGTACCCATATAGGATGCCAGAGCTTCAGGCCAGGGCTTTAACTCATTGCGCCATAGCGCTGGCCCCCAAAATGAATAAATCTTTTAAAAAAAGAAATTACAGATATCCAACTGTTACATATCTTTAAAACTGTAACTACAATAAACAGCCATCTGTGGACTCACCTGGGGTCTGACGAGACATTGACCCCCTTGCACCCACTTCTCCATGTTGAGAACATGACTGAACAGAAACTAACATTCCAGAAACGTTTCCCAGAATTATTGGTCATGTGTGTATTTCTATTCAGATGCATTCTGGAATAGCATCATAATTTATTCCAACAAATATATACTAAGCACACACCATACTAAGTGCTGTGTGCACACCAGATAGAGAAACCAGAAGAGAGCTGAATTTTTTCACATCAATCGCTCTGAAATGTGCTTCTAAGATCAGCATGTGCCATGGGACCTGGCCAGGTATCCGGCTAAGAAAGTCTTACTCCTGAGGAAGTGCAACAGGAGAGGACCCCTGACACATGATCTGGACATGATCACACCAGCCACCAACCCACAAAACACATATTCTTTGAATAAAATTATCACAGCAAAAAATGTAGTGCAAACCAAGATGTTAACTGAAAAAGAGTAGGGGGCAAAGAGCAGAAAAAAGGAAAAAAGTCTGAACTCACCGGGATTGTGGCAATCCTTTTTTACTGAGATCTGCCCTCACACGTTCTCCTACATGTCTGTAAATTTCCACTAAGCTGTTTATGGCTGCATCTCGAACCTAGATGTAAAAGAAGAGATCTTACAGCTGCTCTGTGTCAGTGCCAGCACTTCCTGCTGGGACACACCAGGCCACACACCACCCCGCTTTACAGCCAAATCACCAGTGCCACTGTGGACACAACCTCTCACACAGGCCCGACTGGGAAAACCACGTGTGATGCTTTATGTTCTGCAATAGTAAACATGCAGGACCCCGCTGCTATGGACACGTTAAAGTCCACGTGCCTTAGAGGTTTCCATTCTTGAAGATGTCAGGAAACCTAAATTCCCAGACCACCTTTCTGAAATAGAAAACAACACTACTAATAAATCAATCACTAAAAATGAAGTGTCATAGAAAACCCTCTGGATTCAAGTCAATCACACACTTAATGAGCAACAAAAATGGGTAATACAAGCTATACAAAAGCCCCATAACCAAGTAGCTCGTCTTAAAAAGGAGATGAAGGAAAAGTCCATAAATTTCACACTGAATACATAAGCAACACAATAAACGTTATTCAGGAACATGAAGTGCTCACACAGTCTAAAGGACTGAGAAATGCTGTATGGAGGAGGAAGCAACAGCTTGGAACATGCTTGCAAGGACAGGATTTCCCAGGACCCACGGACTGGGCCACACAACGGACGGCCCAGGCAAAGGCGGGAAAGCAGGGCTGCAGGCACAACTGCAGGGATAGCGAGCAAGCCGGATTGGCCAGAGGCAGACATGAACCCTGAGAGTGGCACGAAATACAGCCTGGGGCTTTAGAGATATAAACTGGTCTGTGGTCAGGTAAGAAAATGTCCTTGTTATTAAATGACACACACTAAAGACCTAGTGGTAAAAATACTACATCTGCTTGTGACTTAAAAACAGTTCAGAATAAAGTATGCACCTGTGTATTAACCCATGCACAGACAGAGATATAGACAGATACATCACAAATGTGACAAATATTAGCTGGCAAATATGGGTGTTCACTATACTGATGGCTTTCCTGGAGATTTAAACTTTTACAAACAAGCAGGAGGAAAACACAGTTAACATAGAATGGTACGAAGGCCAGGTGGTATGGGGGTGGGGGATATACCTCATTCATCAGGCAAAGATAGGGGAGAAACATTCTAAATCTGATCTCAAACAATGAAATCAAAGTAATGAAGAAGGAAGCAAAGGAGAAAGAGGCAGGGTTACAAGCAAAAGCTTATAGTTCAGAATACTACAGACTGCCCTTTGATTTAACAGTGTTACGTGTCCTCCTTCTGGTGGAAAAAGACAAGTCCTAGGTCCTATCCCTTGTCACTTGCACTGTGATGCTATTATAGGCTGAAATCGTCCTCCCCTCCAAATTAAAACTCTCTAGCCCTAACTCCCAATGTTACTATTTTTGGAAACAAGCCCTATTAAGGAAGCAATTAAGGTTAAATGAGATCACAATGGTGGGGCCTGAAATGAAAGGATCAGTGTCCCTTTCAGACACCAGGGAACTGCGGCTCACAGGCAGAGGCCCTGTGAGCACACAGCAGGAAGGCAGCGTCTGCAAGCCAGGAAAAGGCCCTCATTGGAACCTGGCCATGCTGGCGCCCTCGCCTCACCCCCAGGCTCCAGAATAGCAAGAAAATAACTGTCATTTAAGCCACCCAGTCCATGCATTTTGTTATGGCAGCTGGAGCTAACAGAGTGTCGTGGTAGGGACATTTCTACATTGAAACATGCATACGTCACAGAAGCCTGCAACGCTGCTTGGTCTTGAACATCAGTCCAAAGTGCCTCCCTTCTGCCTCCTGTCTAGTGCTAGCATCTGCTCACAGCAATCACGAGGTGATCTTTTTTTTTCTTCTTTTTTTTACAGGCAGAGTGGACAGTGAGAGAGAGAGAGAGAGAGAGAGACAGAGACAGAGACAGAGACAGAGAGAAAGATCTTCCTTTACCGTTGGTTCACCCTCCAATGGCCGCTGCAGCTGGTGCGCTGCAAGCCGGCGCACCGCGCTGATCTGAAGCCAGGAGACAGGTGCTTCTGGTCTCCCATGAGGGTTCAGGGCCCAAGGACTTGGGCCATCCTCCACTGCACTCCCGGGCCACAGCAGAGAGCTGGACTGGAAGAGGGGCGACCGGGACTAGAACCCGGTGTGCCGGCACCGCGGGTGGAGGATTAGCCCATTGAGCCGCGGCACCGGCCACGAGGTGATCTTAAAGAGCAAGTGATATCCAGGCAGCCACTCGAAACGGCTGAGCCATAAGCACTTTAGAACGTTAACAGAAAAATCTCTCTAGCTTCAGAGTCAAAGAAGTAGACCCAGGGGCCTTCTTGGCCATTCAGGAGCCCTGGAACCCTTCCAGTCTCAATTTCCTCGTGTGTAGTTGGGGGTGGCTATGAGAGCTAAGAGGAATAATGGATTCATTCAACAAAGATCTGAGTGCCCACTAGATAAACATGAATGGAAACGCTGCACGGGCCAGGCATTCAAGGCAAGTGCAGAGCTGGCTGGGCGTAGGATGACACATGGCACTGGCAATGTGGAGGCCACCCCATGAAGGAGGACAGCCACAGCTTTCATACCTCCCACCCAAACTCTTAAACACTGCACAGATACCTGCACACAAACACCCTCCAGCCTTCAGGCCAACAGTTTGCAGTGCTAAAGGACTGATATTACCTACATCTTTTAAACCAACAGCCATAGCCTTTAGAACAGCCTTTCCTTGAGCTTAGAGAGCTACAGGATCAGACAGCATCTGGAGCTTTCCAAGCCACCTTCACTGAAGAGACACCAGCACAGATGAAGAGTTTCTTTGGAAGCACAAAGTACTCCAGGTGAGATGGGAAATTTACACAAATGCAACTCAGCTGAGATGGAAGAGATGCTGTACTTGCTCTCCACATGATCACACTGTCCTCACACTGCCTCCATCTGTAACTCCTCAGGACCACCACAGACAGGAACCCCCAAATTTCAGGCCATTGCAGCTACAAAAGGGCCGCACACAGGAAGCACACTATCTGCCAGGCTTCACACAAATACTCAGCAGAAGCCGACATCTCCAGAGCATGCCATGTCACTCCTAACTCCCTTGCAGGGCTGCTGTCTGCTAGCACAGCAGAGGGCCTGGGGCTGGCTGGGTCAGCTCCTGCCCGAGGCCCACAGCTGGTGGGTACAGAGGCTAACAGCGGCTGCCTCTGAGTGCAGGACCTGCTCTTCTCATGGCATCAAACTGCACCCCAATAGCAAAATCAACATAAGGACTTCCTGCAAAGCAAGAAACTCAAGAGAAGGCCTCGAGCTTGGGCTTGAGGATGGGAAGGCAGTTAGTAAGCTGATGAGAATCCAAATGCACCCAGTCCTTCTGGGAAACCAGCAAAGCTGCAACAGCAGTTCCCACAGACAGCAGGTGCCGTAGGCTGTACCTGCACTCCCCGCCCCCATCCCTAGGCTGCAGTGGAGACACCAGGCCAGCACAGGCACCCAGTAGGTACCAGTCCTCGGACACCTGAAGATGCATTAGGCTGTGAAGCTGTGCACTCCACCCCTGAGCAAGTCAGACAGCAGTCAGCAGGGACCTTGGCAATGCAATCTTCCACCTGCCTTGCGGCCAACTGAGAAGCTGTGAGACAAGACCTACAGCTTCCAGGCAGGACCTGCACCTATTGTCCCAGACTGTGTGTGGCGTTTTAGACACCAGCCACCCTTGCTATGGCCACTGCCCTGTCTTCCTTGTCACCAAGCACAGGCTCTCAGAACATCCAGCACACAGCCCTCATCTTTCTCAGCGACAGGGCCATGGACATTAACTCTGGAGCACATGGCAGGACGTGGTCCACGGGAAAGCCTCTGGACAATGCTTGCTGCCTGCAAGAGATTCACAGGGACTCGTGTGCACTGGCTAGGGACCTGAGACTCTGAATTGCTCACTCTTGGGCAACAGGTGACAGGGGTACGAGTGCTGTTTTTTAAGAAGAATAAAAGTCCTTATCTTTTAGAGCATTTAAGAAGGAAAGGAAATGATGCTTGCTTCAAAATCATCTAAATTTTGCTTCCAAGTAACAGGGCAGGGAAGGAAAACAGATGAACCTGGCCTTGGCAGGAGCCGGGTGGTGGCACAAGGGAGGCACGTGATCATCCTCATCTCTTCTGGCTCTGTCTGAACTTTTCAACAAGACAAGTCTCAGACAGCAGAGGAGCTGGGGAAGAACCAGCCTCTCCTACCAGGCCAGGCCTGAATGTGAGTGGCTGCCTGTACCTGCAGTGTGCCCTGGGGACAACTGCAGAGAACGAATGCCGGGGTAGACAAGGAAAAACTCTTTTTTTAAAGATTTGTGAATTTATTTTAGAAGTCAGAGTTACAGAGAGGAAGAGGGAGAAGGTGAGGGAGAGAGAGAGAGAGAGAGAAATCTCCCATTTGCTAGTTCACTCTCCAGATAGCCACAACGACCAGGGTTGAGCCAGACCTAAGCCAGGACCCAGGAGATTTTTCCAGGTCTCCCATGTGGATGCAGGGGCCCAAGCACTTGGGCCATCTTCTCCTGCTTTCCCAGGCTCATTAGCAGGGAGCTGGATTGGAAGTAGAGCAGCAGGAACTCGAATTGGCACCCATATAGGATGCTGACACTGCAAGCAGTGGCTTTACCTGTTACATGACAGTGCTGGCTCCATGGCAAAAGTTTCTGAGGGCACCACGGAGTTCCTAACCAGAAACTCCCTACTGCAGGACCCTCTCTATGCAAGGTGAGACATTTCTATACTGCTCTAGCATTTCTCAGTTGGGTTTTCAGTTACTTGTAGCCAAAAGCATCCTAACCCATAGCCTCCATGCCTCTGAGAGCTCCCTGTTCTATGCCCTCAGGTCAATGAAAAGAACTCAGGGGGATATGCAGTCTGTTTAAAGCTAAACTTAGCAGATGGAGGTAATCACCAAAGTAGCCCAGAGAACATTCTTTGCACACTCGCTACTGGACAATATTGAGCTGGAGGCTGGCAGCTATGCCAGGCACCCAAGTGCCACAACAGTCCTAACAT